TTTCTCAAAAATCTGCCCATTCCTGACCCTACCTCAAAATTTCAGGAATTAGAAATATTATTAACGCTCATCCAAAATAACATTATGACAGTCTGTATAGCAGATTTTTCACCAACTAGGAAAGTATGAAATTTTGCCAATTTCAAATATAGTTCAATCAGTAAACACCTAGCCTTGTCAATGCATTTCTGGCATCGTAGACGGGTGTGGCATAGAGGTTGTTGGCTTATTAGCAGTTAAAGAAGCAGTTTGTCTTATACGCGTTGACTGCTCAGGCATACTGCAAGCCCTGAAGTCTAGAGGAGGAATTAAAAAGACAACCACCTCCCCCAACCCCCCCTCCCCCTCCTCTCTGAGATGCCGAGGTGCCGCGCCTTGTCTCTGGCCGCGATAGTTTCAGAACGAGTCATTTTTCATCATGGCGGCTTCGAAGGGGATGAAGCAGTTACTCCAAAAGCAGTTTTTTCCGAGAATGGTAACTTGGAATTTACGGACTGTACACGGCCACCATGGAAAAGTAACCCAGCGAGTATCGAGAGAAGGTATTTTACCTTAATAACACTTTAAGTAAGGTTATTTCGATCATCCTCATGCTCAATGCACAAGCCAGCATAAGCTAGGCTTGAGTCTCTCGTTCAAACATAACCTTAACTGGCGAGGGAGAAGTTTGAAATCAGGTCATGGACTGTGTATGGGAATGTCTTGAAAGTTTAGTGAAGAAAAACAAAGTCTGGTATCTGTTTTATTGGGTATACTAGTTTGAACAGCGGGTTAATGCGTGGGTCAATTCCACCTGTTATCTTGGCATACACTCGGGAATTTGACATTTTTTACCTTATTCGGCGGTCTATTCCCCACCCCCAGACTCGACAAAGGAGACAATTTCCCACCCCTGGGACTCTTATGTACCTCAACTATGTCTGAATATGTACAAAAAAATGGTGGCAATATTGGTTGCTGTACAATAGCAAAAACAGACGTTTTGTCAAGAATGCAACGTTTTTCAAGAGTTTAGTGAACGAAGGATACTACTTAGAGTAATATACATTACCATACATTGTTTTGTTCCAGCCAAGGCGAAACAAACTGTAGCGGCTTTCCTACAAAAAAATCTATTAATGTCCAACAAATGCTGCGTTGCCATTGCGTTTGATAAACACTGTGCATGAAGCAATTTTTTACTTTCCCTGCCCAGACTGTGGAAGAAGACTGCCATATCCCACCCCCAGGCATGAAGGGCTGGACTTGTTGTGGGGATTGCCCAGGAGAGGATGGTAACGGTTGGAATTGAACCACGCATTAATGTATAGCAATGATTCTTGTTGATAAACAATGTTGTTGTTTTCGATCACGTGCACCAAAAATCACTCTTGTGGTTTGCAAAAAAGAGCTTGCATGTGAGTGAGTTCTCTTGCTTACAGTCGACTTTCCAACATAAGTTTTGATGTGTTAGTACTCGAATTTGCTAAAAACGTTGTCAGTGAAGCATCCTTATATTATTCTATTATAGTAAAACATCAAAATCTACCTCCAGGGTGCTTCTCACAACAGTTCTGAAACAACAGATTTATGATCACTACAAAGTTTCTGTAACTTAAGCTTAAGTTGGCTTACTACAGTTTTTCTGAGACTCCGTAGCACACCCTGCAATTGCCTGGGCTTCCTTGCCTTATATATTGATATTTTGTAAGTATATTTATAATGGCAAAAATTTAAAACAAACAAACAAATAAGTCAGCCTTGAAACATGTTAAACCACTTAGTTATAGGAAGCGATAGATTCAAACTGCTTTCAAATATGTCTTTATAAGCCAAGGACCGATAAAATTTAACAGAGAAGAAAGATAAACAACTGATAAATGAGCTCTAATTTACTTTTGGTTTCTTGCATTTGATAAATGGCATCACATGAGCATGAGCTAAATAAACAGCCTGCATGGTTCAGTTTCATGGAAAGTTGTAAAAGCCTGTCTTTGATTCAAGATTTCATGGAAAACCTAGACCATACCATCTTATTTACTTTACATAAATGTTTTATCCAACCCAGTTTCCAATTCCAGAATTCTCATGGTGAGGTCATCTGGGCAGATTTTGAGAAAAACGTCATTAAGCCTACTAGTGCCTAGTCTCTCCTAGGCACTTGGTTGTTATTTCGTATTTCTTTTTCTTTTCAGATTTACGACTTGGAAGATCAGCAAAACTAATCAACAGTAATGCAGCAAGTTTCATCAAGAATTACCCATTCTTGTTGCAAAATCCCAACTGCTGTTTGCTTAGCAAAAGTGATTCTGGCAAAGCAGCATACTATAGAAATCAGAATTTTCATGTTATATTACCAGAAAGTCCTGAGCAAAGAATACAAGAATTGTTTCTTCCCTTTTACCCTTCAAGTATCAGCACAGTCATTGGTGACCGTGCTTGTCATGAACTTACAATTGGAGATGCCAGAAGAGCTCCTACAACTTTACACTGCAAAAGGATCCTAAAAATACGTCGTAAGAAGATGAAAAAGCATAAATATAGAAAAAGAAGGAAGCTAAACTTGTACAAGCGCAGAAATTTAAAGATTCTTAGAGAGAAAAGGAAGAAGAAGGAGAAAAGAGAAGAAGAACGGAAGATTGAGTGGGAGAAGGTTCATTCAGACTGACAATGTGCACTTGATATTGTGAACAAGAAGAAACTTTGAATTAAAAACTAATAATTACGTCTAGGGAGATTTTGTAAGTTGTTTACAGAAATTATCAACATGTGATGTCGAACCCAAATGTTCCAGTGATGGAGGTGTTTAATAAGACTTTCCTCATTACTGCCCTTTGGTGATCTGCTGCTGTGAAGCTGGCATTTGTAATAAATATGGAATGAACCTTATTAAAATGACCTTTTTTTTTTTTGTAATTTTTATTATTATTAAAATGACCTGCTTACACAGACAAATTTCAAGTTTGATTAATGTTTACTCAAGCTCATTCCCAAGTGGAGAAATTTCTGATGACCTCTTCTTTTCTGTGCGTATCATAATTTAGTCAAGGCAGACATTTGTTTGGTTTGATACTGGCTACAATCCAACCCACATGAAATGGCCACCCTCAGGGAAATGGGAGGTGGCTGCTGAAAAGGTGTTTCTGTACTTTGAATATTAATATTTTATATTGGGTTAACTGCTTCGTTAACATTCAACCACGTCAAGACAATCATAATAAACAAGCATTTGAATGTTTTTATCAGTCATCAAATTATATCTCAGACTCTTATCTGTTATCCTCTTTTCTGAAAGAAAGCCAAATTGTATATTAAATTTTGGTTGGTCACTTAATAGAGGTATGGATGATGGAGAACACACTCATTGGAACGACCAAAAGATGGCTGCTGCCAGAGGTGCCCAGTTAATTGGGGTTTTATTTGCAGTATTTTACTGACGATAATTAATTTGGGAGTTTGATAACTGGCTGCCTAATAAGGGGTGGCCACTTAACAGAGGGTCCACTGTATAGACTTTCTTTGCAGACTCATCTTTCCTTGGGTTTATCATGCAAACTTTTCTTCAGAAGTATGTTTAACAGGAAGAGGAACTTGTGATCAACCCAAGCAACATAAACAACAACAACTCTATAACTTGGGTTTTTCGGGTCATTGTGCATTATTCAATGAAGTAAAAACTTGGCATTTTCTATTGGAAATGTGGAAATCAGATTGCTTCACTTCACTTTGTGCCCAAAGATTACATAAAAATTGTAGGTTTTTGTCTGCGATCCTTTAGAGATTCTACTGAAGGTAAAAAGGGTTAGACCACTTGCTCCATTTTTCTGGGGAAAATGGTGAACAGGAGAGTAGACTTAATTTGCTCAAAGAAAATTTGGGCTTTTAGTATTAATACTTGTTTACTAGATTATTCATATTTCTTTTTTTGCCAAGAGATTTTTCCATAGAAATCTTAAGGTAATTTTTCAAACATGCAAGCCAGTGAGGGATGCTGGCAGTCTTGAAATTGGCAAACTAGCCAATTGTTTTATCATGCTATTATCATTGTGTGGCACCGGCAAAGACCTGTACCCACTCCATGAAAGGCCATTGGAACTCTCAAGGGGGTGGCTAAGTGGCTTAAAAGTCAAAATTGTCAAAATAAAGTGTGGGTGCCTGGGGGCTCAAATCAAAACACCTTGGTATCTGGCCATTTTGTGCCACCAACTGTTTTGTGATTGACAAGGTCAGTTATCTTTATCGTTGCAGTATGTGGAATCCATCAAGGATATGATGAAATTCATTTTCCCTGCAAAATAAACATTTGAATGGTTGACAGTCTCAACATGCCCTGAAGGATATCAGAGATATCACATTTTATTACAAACACAGCTAATTTCACACAATAATGGTCTGTTTTAGCCCAGCCCTTACATTTCTTGCCTAACACTTCAGTCATAGTTATAAAAAGATATGATCATTATACTATAGTTCTAAATAAAGAGCGCCTTTAACAAAGCATCACAAATTAGCTGCAGACCTATAAAAAATCTCCTCTTAGAAATTCATATATTAAAATATATCGTTCTTGTATGAAACTTCCTTCACAATTAGCCAACTGAAAGGTACTAAATATACTTAGGGGTGGGGGGTGGGGGGGCTCTCATATAAAAAATGATGGGGGTGCTCATTGTACCTTTCAGGAGTTAAAAAACTGTTTTTCCTACCTCTTAGGGTGTTCAGCCTCAAAAGGTCCACAGCGGGAGCTTTTGCTCTACCTTTTAGGGTAACAAGCTGATAAAATATTGACAAGAGGTAATGTGTTGTTGTAGAATTGGTTCCCCTTAGGGGTGAACAAAATTCAAGCCACGCCCACAAAACAAGATCTTGGTACCTCTTAGGGGTTCTTTTCAAAATTTCCAATGCGCACCCCCATCCTTTTTAAAGGGGAGTCACTCCCCTGGCTAATACACTCCTTGGAATTTGGGATAAATTGATGATATTGACAATTATAGCTGTAATGCCTAACTTCATTATTTTGTAAATACAGTGGAACCCTGCCTTACGACCACCTCATTAATACGGCCACCTCGTTACTGCCAACAGCCACTTTATTCTGGCCTGAGCGAAAGCTCAGCCAGCCATTTTTTTATTTCAAGAACCTCTTTAAGGCCACCCTGTTAATATGTCCAGATTTTTGTGGCCTCTCTTTGGTGACTGGATTAACTGGGTTCCACTGTATTTAGATAACAAAAAAGTAACAGTTTTGTAAATAAGGGAACAGGTTGTGTCAATCATTGGTTGCAAAATGTATTACCTCATTTGCACTGAATTTCATCAAAATTAACAGCTCAAATAACAGTCTAACAACATGTACATGTAAGCACCCCTCCATGTTGGTCACGCAGACAGTGAATGTATATCAATACAAATTCTTTTATTTCACACTCTACATTAAAATATTGACATAACTACACATGCTCATATATGTTAGATAAAACAGCCATCCCAAAGCCATGTAAGAGTGTTGAATTCTGTCATCACGTGGAAATAATAAACAATATATCATTATACCTGTTTACTACAACATACTGAAATGTCATCAACTTTTCCTAGAAATTGTCACAGGCCTACAAATTTCAGCAAGCTTTTTGTAAAATTGAATGTTTATTTTCACATATGATCAGAGAATGGCATCACGTTCATGTGTTCTTGTCCAGGCTTATGACTGGGGATGGTTTCCAGGGGCTGGTACAGGCCCATAACCAGGTGGAGGTTTAGAGCTTGTATGACCCTCTATCGTCGCATAAGGGGAACCTAGAATTGAAACTTTTTAAAATTAAACAAACACCTGGTTGTTTAAGTTTACTACATAACAACTTCTTAATTAAAAGTATAGGAATATAAGAGAATTGAGTTCCACATGGTTAAACAGAAAAACTAAATTTAGTGAAGGTACCATGTAAAACCTACAATATTTACTATATTTAGAGAGGAAGCCACATCAGCCTTAGCTGGTTTTCATGTGGATCCTCAATCCTGGTCGAATTGGAAGATGGAGTAACAAAGTTGTTATGTAGTTGTTATGTAGTGGATGGGAGGGCAAGGATTAAAGAATGACTGTGCATTTTATTCAAACTCAGATGAGAATATGCAATAAACCATTAGACGTAGGAAATGACCATACTGCCACCCCAAGGAGCTTTAACTTCACTGAATGTTGCAAGGGGGAGAAGGTTTCAAATGCCACTGAAGTTCTTAAAGGAAAGTGTGATCGAACCAGAACACTTCAATGAGTTGGGTACATACTGTATGGATGTATATAAAAATAACATAAAATAACTGAATTAGTTATTAATGTTAGAAGTCTGCGTTTAAGCCTAATGGCTCAAACAACTGACACTTTTAACTCTGGTTTCTGTAGTTTGAAGGGACTAGCTACGTGTATTGCTCCTTCCCCTAGATGGGATGGTATTCCATTTGTGTGGTTACTTCCCCCCAGCATTTTAAACACTGCACCCATTTACACACCTGGGTGTACCAGGCACTTTGAGAGTAAAGTGTCTTCCCAAGATCACAACACAATGACCATACCAGGGCTCAAACAGCTCATTCCATAGTCCAGCACATATTAACCATTAGGCTTCGCAGCTCACACACATTACAAATTAGAGGGTGGTAAACAGTATTTTCATGAGTTGTGAATGGCCTAATTTTTTTCCCAGGAAATGTGAAATGGCTTGTTACTTTCTCGTGAATTGTGATTTCATTAGAAGTCGTGAACCGTGATTTTCCAAAATAATTCTCCATGAAATGACAAAGAAGCATTTAATTTGTGTGAACCGTGATTTAGGTTGTGTCTTCTATTATTTGTGACTGTAATTAACAATATTGTGTGACTGTGACAGGACAATCATCCCTCTTAGTGTTAGTTGCTCGGATTTCTTTTTGCTGCAAGCAGAACAAGTAGCGGACAGATGACAAAGACATTTAACAAGGCTGTTGGGCGTAATGTTTCAAATATCATAAGTAATGTACGTTCGTGTACTTGAAACATGATCTTGACCCCCTCCTCCCCTTTACCACCCTCGAATTAATTTGCAAAATCTGTCTGATTACCTGACCAGCTGTAGCTCTCTGCTCCTCCTCGGCAACGGTGATTTTGAAAGATAAGCAAGCAAGACAGAGGCTGCAATGAGGAAAAGCAAAACAAATTCAAAATCTTTTAACACATGACAGGAGCATTCTTACAGCAACTGAAGATTCTTTTTAAGAACAATTTCCAAAGTACACTGTGAACATTTTGACACCACCCTGAAGATCAGACCAGCTTGAAGACAGTTGAGAAGTAAGATTTTACCTTGGCTGATGATGAGGCACTTGTAAACAGGGATGGCAGATGGTAAACGTGAGACTTAGTCAATTGTGAGACAGCGTGGTCAGAATGATGTGGCGGTATATATGTCTTGTGGAATTCAGACTTTCAACTCGATTCAATTTTTTATTCACACTATAAAGGGCATTTACATACATTTTATGTGGTAAAGTAATGAAAATAGTAAGTCAAAATTAAGAAATATTATTAAGCTGTAAAGAAATAAAATTTATAAGTGAGTGGTGACCAAAATAGCAAGAGGTTTCTGGTTGGACACTGCCATGGTCAAGTAAATAACAGCGTAAAAAATTAATTCAGCTATGTTAGACCTACATACAATACATTACAACCAACATATATATATACACTAAATTCACACTTATATTTGATAGCAACAAAATCAAACAGCAAAATAAAACATAGTAGTAGCAAAATCAAGTTTGATTATTCAGGTGGCATTTGTACTCTTTCTTAAAGAAATTGTTGGGCAAACATTTGAAAAAGAAAACCTATAGGTGAGAAGGTTTCTGAGATAGCCTTGCAAAAAATTGAGACCCAGACTCAGCTTTGTGAAAAAACTGAGACTTCGACATGCACATAACTGCTAACAAAATGATGCGGCGAGACCTGTGAAGTTCGACTAAATTTTGCGAGACCCAGAGTTTTTAAAGGGCCATTTGTCACCCCTACTTACATTCAACCACCAAAATCTGGGTACCTGAATCATTTCTGCTCAGTCATAAATATCTTCCTCTAATTTTGATTGCTTGATTGCTTTTTGAGCCTACTGTGTATTTACAACAAAGACACAGCATTTACTTACCTTCAAAATCAAACTCAAGATTGCCATTCTAAAATGTTGGATCAAAGGTCAAGGAAATATGTAATTTTCATAAGTGCTCTAAATTGTTAGTGAATGTGTTATGTTACTGAGAATTTGATAACTTAAAGCTATCTTCCAATAACTTCTTTTTTTCTACCCATTAGTGATCACCAGTGAGTCTGCTTGACAATACTGGTCACAGTTTACATTATTTAGCTAGTGTAATATAATATATTTGGCAGTTGACAATTATGCCTCTTAATCTCACCAGTTAAAACAGCAGCATTGCCCTTGATCAAGAAGTTGCCAAAAATCAACATTACAGAGATTGGACTAAAAGAACTGTGCATTTTGAGTGCACATATACTTGTTTGTGTGTTACCATTGATCACAGTTAAGGCATATAACTGTCACCCCCTACAAGAAACTTGAGCTCTTGGCATCAGTGGTTAGCGTTTAAAGCGTCTTTCAGCAGTTGGGGCATCCAGGTGTGTCTCGGTATGTATGTATTCCTGTGGTTAGCACTTGGGCCTTCAGGGTCTACTCCACCACTGCATGGTCAGCAGTTTTGGTTGCTGGTTCTTAGCAATGGTCAGCTGTCTTCTCTGTACCTCAGGCTTGCATTGCAGTATGCTCATATTACAGTTTACCTTGTGCATTGCGTTGTACCAGGTGGGTGTTTGTGTGATCTTTGCATTTTTTCCCTCCCAGCCCTTCCCTGGGGATTTTTATAGGATTTATTCAAAATTATCTAGTAGTACTTACTGGTTATTATTTTACTTTTCCACTGAAATTCTAGTTTCATTATGAGTGGTGCCTGGGCTCTGTGCAGTTGTAGGGTGCTTGTGGTTGAGTTGCAGGCAGTGCCTGCCATGTGAGTGGTCTTACATTGTGGGGCTGGGGTTACAGGGTGAGCGTTGGGTTGTTTTCCCTGAGCACCTAACCTTCACTTGCGATGAATGTTGTTATGAGGAGTTTATTATTCTGAGATTAAAGGACTACTAATGATTAATTAATAGTGTTTTAAAAACAAATGTTTAAAGGATACCCAGCACAAAACCTAAAGTGAGATGAAGGCACTGAAAGACAGAAAAAAAAAATTAATAACCATTAGACATATCCGAACATATACTTCTACACGTATTTTCCTATAATTTCATGGTTTAATTCTAAAGAGTATTTCTAGATTTTCCAAATTTCATTTAAAATAGCCAGTAGATAGTTGACCCGGTTTATGTCATGGGTTGGTGTTGTATTCATTGGATTCTAGAGTGCTGTTTATTGTCATGACGTGCCACTTGTAGTTAATTATGACCATTGTACATTGCACTGATATGTCTATAATAATTATTATTGACTGCCATCTAGCATTTTTCCCTCCACCCTCACTTACATAAGACTCTATGTAACAATGATAGTTGGAGTGGACAATGTGCTTCAAAGCATTTTTATTGTTCCTTTAACTTGTGATCATTTCATCATGTTTTGTGATTTTTAATAAATTTCTGTATTTCTGCCAAACACCATTTTTATATTAGTGGGTCTCTCTATACCTATAAGGAGAAGGAAGCCAGAACCGTATCTGTTCTTTTCGGCAAAGAAGTAAAAAACCAGGCAGAAGTTAGCACTTAAAAAGCTGCTGGTTTAGCATCAAAGGATCATTTTGCATATCTCTAACAAAAAATGGATTATAGGGCCGGGAAGGGCAAACAAATTAAGGCTACAAAGGTTTTCTTCTGACTGTTATCACCCAATTGGTGATACAATGTGTTAATGTTACAGAAAATATCCATAACCACCCCTTTGAAGGGGTTTCAGTTTGAGGCACCCCTCCCTACTTCACTCCCCTGGAAAATATTCTAGCTAGTTCAGATTTGATATACGTTCCTTTTAAATTTTGCGCTTTCACCCCATCTGAATCTTCAATGACCTTTCATGGGGTGCAGAATGAATATTTTCTGAAAGTCTGTACATTAACTGAGCTTATCAGATTTTAATGGGACAATAACATCTTAATTAATAAACTACATGTACATGAACAATGCTTAGTATGAATTAACCCTTCTTTGGAGAAATTAATCAGAATATAGTTGAGCCATGACATCCCCATAGAGGGTACCAGTCATATTGCATGCAGTTCCAGGAAATAACCATTTATCCACTCCTGAAAAAAGAATCATAGGAAATTCCAAAGGGTGAAGGGAGGTTTTAAATGTACTAAGATATTTTGGGGTGGCTAGAGAGAACATACATCTTACCTGGAGTATAAAAAATAGAAAAAACTATGATATCATGTAGTATTGTAAACAACATTCCACACAAAAACTGCATAAAACAAGAAGAAAATATCAATGTTAATAAATGTCAAAATTAATAATACTTTGCATTGCACCGTTATAGAAAATATCCATACTCATATGGGACGTTTTTTGATTTGAACCCCAGCCCCTCCAGAAATTATAGTTAAGTGTCATATACTTTCAAAAATTTTAAAAATTTAAAAAATTTTTAAAATAATTTTTGAACCCCTCCCATGATGAATTTTCAAACTTTATTGGGTGGGTATGGATATTTCCTGACACTGCACATTACTAACTTTGAGACCTTTGAAGGGAATAATTGGCAGTAGCAACGTAATATTATGTTTCTGGTAGTTAAGTGCTGTCCCTTTTTTGTCTCTTTGGATAGGGTTTGCATCTATGTGGTAGTTTAAACTGATTAATATTGTGTGTACATGTACATACCAGCTGTGATGCATCTTCATTCTCTGGTGATGCTATTGCCCAAACTCCTACAGCTAGTACGAGCAAATTACAAAAGAGATATGTTTCCGGTAACCACTTCAACTGATCGCCCCTTGATAAAAATAAAGAATAGATTGAACAATAATGAGCTGCTTTTACTTCTACTGCATATAAAGGTAAATTAAGTCTATGTCTGGCCATTAGTGGTCCATGCCATCAGAACTTATACTGATCAATTCTATGTTTCTCATTACACTGCAATAATTACAAACATTAATAATCTCCTAGTCTGAACTATGACTATCAGTTACTTACTTACTTACTGCCCTTATGCATGGCTGTCATTAAGGACTGTAACTCGTAACACCTGTTATGGCTGAGTATGCTTGATTTTCCCTCGATGCTATGGGTGAAATTGCCTGTTGTTGATAGAATTCACCCACAAAGTAACAAGTTTGCTGTGGGTGTGGAGAATGAGACTACAGGTAACTCAAAACTTAATGAGAGCCCTGCTTATGCCTGCTGGCATGTAGTGAAGCAACAGCCATCAATGCCGTATACAAATTTGTTGCTCTCCATGCTGTATTCCTAACAATACTGTACTAGGTTCAAAGCAGCAGGCAAATGGACAGCCATGAAACACAAAAATATTGTGGCTCCATTAACCAAACCAAACAAAGAATGAAATACTGGTAATCGCCGTCCACAAAAATTAGCTATTTGGTTCAGTGTAATAATGACAATTATAAGTGCAACCGACTGTGACACTACCTAAGTTTTGTGAGGTTTCCAAGTCTAATATATACAGCATGAGGTATTGACCATGTATCATCTAGGTCAGACAAGATACCTGGATAAATTTGGCCAAAGTTCTTTTTTTGGGTGTTTTTGAATTGAGCTAGGCAGTTGAGAAATCCATGAACATGGGTAAAAAAAGAACAAGACCAACATTGAACCGTTTGACTGAACAAGTTTGGTCAAAAAGTAGTTATTAATTATATGGTATAAAAACCACCAGCCCATTTTCTTGCAGGGAAGCTGAGTGAGCAGGTATTCCCAAGTGGGTAAGATAGCCCCATCTTGCTCACTCAGTGCAGGATTTCATTCATCTTGCCTACTTCCAGAACTTGTCATGAATAATGACTTTGTTTTGCTTCATAATGAAAATTTTGGGGAGCACACTTTGCAGTTTCTACATGAACGTAACAATAAAATTTATTTCAAACCATATGTGTAACATATATACAACCACATACATGTAGGTGGTCAGGATATTAATCATACTACTGTTAATCTACCAATATACACTTCTTACATTAAATCATACAAGTTCATTAGCTAATTACCATAAAATTGATTGTATTTTTTTAAAAGTACTCGCCGCAATTCAGCTGTACGTGTGCAGCCATAGTTTTCTCAAGGGGTGTTGAACTTACCATATAGTTAAAATGAAATGAACTGACACAACAATCTGCAAATGTAGAAAGAACGCAAATGAACACGGGCTTGACATACCTATTCACAATTTGCAGAACAAAGGTTAAATAGACTAAATAGATTAATTAGACCCATTACAGAAATATGTGGGTATTATTGTGAGACTTACATGGTATGGCATGTACAGAAAATACGATTTCAATAAAGCACCACTCACCTTTAATGAAACTGCTGGCAAAGTAACTCTAATAGCTCCCTCCATATCAAATCGTGCATGCAAGACAACCACGGACTTCAAAAATCACAAATAGACATGGAATAGTTCACGAAATAATTGTACAAGTCACGAGAATAGAGAATATTAGAACCCAGTCTTAGGAAAACTACCGGAAGTTCGTGTAACCTGAGCTTGAGGCTTAAATTGACCGTAGAAAAAAGAAACAAAATTAAACGAAACGAAAGGCAAATCATTGCGAAATTATTGTAACTAACGAATCGAATGTAATCACGAGGTGTCGGAGGAATGAGCCTAAATCATGACAGAAAGCCTACAAGTAGAGGAGTTTTCGGGATCTACCTAATCCGGGATACGGGATACGACGGGATACGGGAAAGCAGTGGTTTCCAGGGCCTTCCGTTCCAGAAAAAAATGGCGACCAGCGAGAAAGATCGAGCTGTTTTGCAAAGCATTTTTAATCCTTTGTTACCCCTTGGTGACATTCCTCCAAAGCATGAAATTGAAAATGAAAATGAAAATGAAAATGAAATTAACGTCGAAAACACGGAGGAGTCCAAACGAGCGAAAGATTTAGAAACATCCGGTGTTGAGAAAGCGGAACAAGGGGATTTGGAAGGAGCATTGGAGTGTTTCAACGAAGCTTGTGAAATCTGTCCTTCTCGTCCGTCTTGTTTCAATAACAGGGCTCAGCTGTGGAGGTTAAAAGGTAGTTATATCGAGGCGGTGCTTGTTTGCTAACGTCCTTACAAGTTCATCGAAACTTACACCCGTAATGGGTTGTAGACAATTTTCTATTTTGAATATTCACCAAGATATCTATCAGGGGAGGGGGTAGGAGGGTCTCTCTATATGATACGGAGGGGGATGTTCATGTTACGATTTAGGACTATTAGTACTGGTTAGGGTTTTCAATATTTCTTTCAGTTCAGCTTGTAGTTCATGTAATCATTTCACATTTTAGCCCCTGGGTATAGTTACGTTTTCAAGCGAATTAGGCCTGGGCAAACATATTTCTGGAATAAGTTATTAACCCTTTGAATACTAAACGTTTGCCAAATACTACCGTTTTTTACCGTTTAGTCAGGTTTTTTGGTTGCCATGACGCTAAATAAGCCTAAATTTTGCTAAGATAGCGTTTTTTTTTACCAAAAAGAGAGATTTTTCGAGGATTACGTACAAAATTGAACAATATTTCAATTCTGGGCATGCACATAAGCCAAAATTTGGACTTTTCTTTTTTTTTGCCATTACCCGTTCTCAATTTTGTTTGTTGCCCCTTTCCTTTTTTTCCCGGCCCTTTTACTCTGGCCACCTTTTGTGTTTCATGTTCTCTCTGGCTGTCCTGAAAAGTTGGATGTTAACTACAGGTGAAGCCTAGAAATGGACCTTGATCAATCATAGGCATAGTGGACCATTTTACCACCGTTTTTGCACCAAAACTGAAAATGTTGTTTTTCGATTTGTGACGTCGGAATGTTGTCGATATCTAAACCTGACCATTATACGGAAAAGGCCTATCCTAGCTCTACCATCTGCTTATCAATAATATCTGGTGACATTTAAATTGATGACGTCACAAGTGGTACAAAGAGTACAACCATTAATTGGTGGAGGGTACTCCCTTATTTGGTCTACACTGGGATGTGCTGTTGGACAGGGTGTGATTTTTTGGCCTTGCTGTCCTGAACAGGGTATACAATTTTACTCGCCTCTGTCCTAAACATGGTCAGAACCTGTCCTAAACAGGGTATGGTATTACAAGCTGAGAGACGTTAACCAGCCATTACAAGGCCATCAATCAACATCAGATCATTTTCTGGACAAGAATGCTATTGTTGTTGGTGTCCTTTAATTTAAATAATTTAGAGCTTGATGATTGATGGCCTTTTGTTTAGTTCAAGTGTAGAGATGCAATAACTGAGTTTTAGATGCATCAAACATGATTTCACTGACTGGAATGGCTTACTGAACAGTTTAATTCCTGTAAAATGAGAGAGTGTGTATTTTGTCTTTTGTCCTAAACAGGGTCTTAAAAAAAAGGGTGTTGCCTACACAGGGAAGGGTTTTTAGGGTATTTTTGTCCTAAACAGGGTCAGGGTTTTATTTCAAACCCTCAGCGGCACCCCTATACCCAAACATGGGTCAAGTATCCCCCGGGGGTCTGAATCTTTTCCATGGCTTTTGTTTAACCTTTAAATAAGTTAAATCATAATAGTCATAATACAAGAATAGTAAATTTATTAATGGTATGCATGGAATAGAAATGGGGTCACCATTTCTGGGTTGTAAGCACTTTAAAGCTAAAGTATTTATAAGCAGTGCAAACTAACTACTAAAGAACATGAATGTTATGGATAAAATTGCTTTCTGGTGCTTCTGAGTCTTAATATAATCCTAGACTTCAGTGTTGCCCCTGCATTTGCTATAACAACTTGCAACTGGATATCCTTACAAAGGTACCATCACCTAGTATTCCAGATGCTCAATCTCTTGGATGTGAGGTGGTGAAGGCTGTTTCAAGTAGGCTTAGGTGACTCAGAACAATTACTTGACATATAAATGTTGATGTCCATAATATTTGCTTTGATTTTAAAATAATTTCTAGTTCCAAGGCTAAAAAAGTTAAAAGTAAAAAGCACTGAACATTTTCTACACTAGGTCATCTTCAAATGTTTATGGCAAATGTGTCATCTCAGGAATTGCATTGTTAGCAAACTGGCAGAGAACTTTAATATCACTTCACTGTGACTGGCTGGGAGGAGAGATATTTATCGTTAATTTTTAATTTGCACTGCGGTGCAAATTAATTTATGCATTTGTAATTTTCTCAGTCATATAATAAATGAGTAATCATATACAAATTAATTTGCGTGTTTGTAATTTTCTCTGTCATATATTAAATGAGTAATCATATGAAAGCTCGAGCGATAAAGGATTTACACTACTCGTGATATTAGAAAATTCTTTCAAATTGCATTTGCCTAAAGGTTCATGTAATTTTGGGAGAATTTTAAATATTACCCATAGTTTAAATCCTTAATTGCACTTGCATTTATACAATTACCTATACTAACTCATCTTATGGAGGAATTTTGGCCAGCTGGGTTATTTTCACAATATTGCAGACTGAAATTTATAAAATTAAAGACTGTGAAACATAACAGATGGACTGCCACTTAGAGAAGTAGTTATTTGCTTGTGTCAGTAATACACTTGAGTTATGGGGTATCTTGTTTTTATCTTTAGGGGATATCAGCAGTGCTTTGGAAGACTTGAACAAAGCTATTGAACTGAGTAGAGACAAAGGAGCTGCTGCAGCCCAGGCTTACACTCAGCGAGGCTTAATCCACAGGTTAAATGGAGTGGAGGAAAAAGCTCTTGAAGACTTCAGCAAGGCTGCAGAGCTTGGTAGTACATTTGCTAAAACAATGGTTGTGCAAATGAATCCCTATGCCGCCATGTGCAACAAAATGCTTGCCGAGGCTATCAACAAACTGAAAGGAGAATCACAGTAATAGTTTATGGCTTCTGTATATGTATGAATTATTTTAATTTCCAGACTGTCTGGTATGGACAGAGAGCTTGTGATAAAGAACATGACATGACTTCAAAGTGCGACACTTAGATCACTGGGTACCCCTTAGGCCTACATTGGAACATGGCACTGAAAGGGTGACAAGTGTTCATTGTTTTCCATCTTAAACTGGGTATGCATTATTTAAATTGTGAATATCTGTGAAACTCATCAGGGGATTACAGTACTGAGAATTAAGGGTGCGTTTCTTTAAGAAAAATTATCCAAGATTGCATTCTTAAATCTGAAAGAATCCGAAAACGGAATTTGCATTTCTTTACTAAACAGATTAATCCAAGATCTCTGGGATCATGGTGCATCAAAGGAACTTTAGAATCCACTCCCAGTGTGGATTCTTCAGTTCCTTTAACGCACCATGATCCCAGGGATCTTGGATTGATCTGTTTAGTAAAGAAACGCAAAATCCGTTTTCAGATTCTTTGAGATTTAAGAATCCAATCTTGGATTTTCTTAAAGAAACGCACCCTAAGACATAATGGTCTTCAACAACAACAACAACAACAACAACAACAACAACAACAACAACAACAGCGAAAACAAACAGCAACAATGACAAAATATTTAAATATTAATAATTTTGAATAAAGCATAATATGGTTAAAATCAAAATGGTTAAAATCTATACCATATTTCAGACCAAAATGACTCCAAATCCATACCCTTTGGAACCAGACATAACTATTTTTTTTAATAGCTTATATAAGGGAGTACTCCCCATATCATGGACCAATAACCAAGCTTCTCGGTGCTGTAAAGTCAGGGAACAAAATGATGAGAAAATGTGGCTGGATAGCACAACTGACTGATGGAAAACTACACAGTAACACAGCTGACTCATATTTTTTGGCCCATCATCCTTATATTCTGGAATGATCAAAAGAAAAGAGTGAGTAACATTACTGGCCCGTTTTGAGGGGCACCCAACAACCGTTTTCTCTCGAATGCTTTTAAATGCTGTTTTAGGCTATCTGGAGTACTTTTAAAGCTTGGTAGGTTAATTTAAGGTTGCACTAAAAAAATTTACCTGTTCGGTTATCCTAGGGGAACTTGAGTACTCTTGAATTTATTAGGGCTTTTTTGTCCATTTCCTGAAAACCTTAGGTCTTATCGCCTTTCCGAAAAACATAGGCACGCAAGGCATGCAAGAGTTATTATTTTTTTGTGAAGTGTCGGAGATAGGAGCATTCATGGAGCTGTTTACAGTAATGATTTGGTTAATTTGACAAGTTTTTTGGTTGCGATGTACAGCAAGAAAGAAACTGGGAATTTATGATGTACATACGATGTTACATCGGTCATGGTAAGGTAGCTAAATAGTAAGCCATAAAATGTTTGACTGAACAAACTACAGTAATCTGACACGTCTCCAGATTAATGAAGATACCATCTTATTTTCCAACAGGCAATTTGTTTCGTTCTTTGGTACAACCCACACTGTGATTGGTGTGACACTCGCACATGCATAACTCCGTCACTCACCGATCACATAGCCCTTCCAACCCTTAAGAGGAACTCTTGCTCAAAAATACTCAAGTTAAATAAGAGACCTTTTCGCATTTTATACGAGTCGCAAGTTTACCCATTTTACACAACACGACACAACACTACCTCACCGAAAATAGAAAGAA